TCTACCACTGAGCCACCTTCCCAGCCCCATGAGTACATTTCTTTTTGGACAATGTCACCCTATCTCACTCCGTTTTTCCCTCCCATCCTTATCCACAAGTTACATAATTCATGTTAGGTAAATTTTAAGGAATTATTAGTAATAGCTTTCATAAAATGTCGTTTTGATAATCATGAATTAAATGGTTTATCATAGATTAAATTACCAGAAGTATTAAATTGGTATTATGCTTTCATAGACAACAAGGATTATTATCATTCAGGAAGACCAACTGCTTAGTTTCCCTCTTCAGGGCTATTTAAAACTTAATGTCAGCTGGTGGTGTATGCTTGTAATCCCAGAACTCAGGAGGATGAGGCAGGAAAATTTCAAGGTTGAGGCTAGCCTTGACTATATAGTAAGAGCTTGTGTCAAAAAAAGCATAAACAACATACAAAAAAACTTAAGTACCTTCTAACATTCTAACAATCTCTTTTTTTTAACTTTTAGTGCCCCATCTAAAACTATACCATCCTTACTTCTGTCTTGGTAATTACACTCAAAATGGCTCTTTTCTCTATCTCGCCTGTAATTCTGACTAACTTTGCCCTCGCCAGGAATGGCAGCAGTGCACTGCTGCATGGTGATTTTCTAACAATCCCTTTCAACATTTCCTCTTAATAGTAGAGGCAATCTTTTCCCCAGAAGATACATATTCTAAAATAACTTTTAAAAGGTTATTACCAGTACTATTTAGAACATTTTCAGTATTTTAATGTTCTTATTTGAGGATATGTATTTTTTACTTTAGAAATTGACCTTATTAGTTTTTTTATTTGCCCAGAAATTATTTTTTACAAAATGTAGTATTCTTTTTGTAGGCCATCCTTTTTTTCTCTAAGTTATAATCTATAACTTATGTGATGAAACATGAAAACAGAGCCATTTTTGCTATTACTTACTATATTTGGTTTTCTATTTTATAATGGCCCAGACTAAAAAAAGAGCAACAGAGATAAAACTTTTATATTAACTTTCTGTTCCCATCCATCCTTTTTTTTTTTTTTTTTGGTGATGTCCTGGGGCTTGAACTCAGGGGCTGAATGCTGTCACTGAGCTTTACTGCTCAAAGGTAGCACTTTACTATTTGAGGCCAAAGATCCACTTCTGATTTTTTGGTGGTTAAATGGAGTTAAGAGTCTCATGGACTTTCCTGCCCCAACTTGCTTCGATCTATGATCCATAGGTCTCATCCTCCTGATAGTAGGATTCTAGGCCTGAGCCACTGGACCCTGGCCATCCATCTTTTGGAGTTAGGGATAGAGCTCAGGATTTAAGAGATGCTCATATGCACATGTTCTATAACCAAGCTGTGTTGTAGCTGTTCTCTGTCCCTTCCCCATTTAAAATAAATAAAAATACTATTAACATACCCTCCAGCTGCAGCTGCATGTAGACAGGTCCTGCCAAAATCATCTGGGGTATCTATATCAAATCCTGTGGGAATGAATATCTTATCTATCATATAAATGTATTGGTTGCCATTGGTTAAGAAATTTCAAGTATCATATTCTTTTAAGCCTGAAAAAAACTGAGGAAAATATTAATGTAAAATATTACAAAAAAAAGACCACTAATGAATTGGTGGCTTTAAAACAGTGCTACAGTGCTTGTTTAAAAGGTTATATATAGCCAGGCACTGGTGGCTTATGCTTATGACCCTACCTACTCAGGAGGCTGAAATCTGAGAACCCTGTTCAAAGCCAGGAGGGGCAGGAAAGTCCATGAGACTATTTATCACCAATAAACCACTAGAAAACCGGAAGTGGTGCTATGGCTCAAGTGGTATTGCACCAACCTTGAGCTGAAGAGCTGAGGGAAAGCACCCAGAGTTCAAGGCCCCCCACAAAAAAAGGTTATATATAATAGACATGGTTGGTCACATCTTTAGTCTCATAGTCCCAGCTACTGGGGAGGTTATGGCAAAAGGATTGCTCATAGGCAACACAGCAAAATTCATAACAAACTCTTCCACCTTCTAAAAGACTATACAATACTATGGATCATTATTCAACAACAAAAAGAAATACTAATATTAATATGAAGATGAATCAAAAACATTACTCTAAGTGAAAAAAGCCAGTAAAAAAAAAGATTACATGCTAGATGATTCCATTACTATCAACTATTCAGAACAGGCAAGTTTTTAGACAGAAAGTAGATGAGTAGATGCTTAGGGATGGGGGAGACAGACAGTGTTCATTAATTGCTAAACACATTTCTTTGACAGGAAACAAAGACTTAAAATGGACTGTAATGATGATTACAGCACCCTTACAAACATATTAAAACTACTGAATTATGCACTTTAACTGTGAATTGTACAGAATGTGAATTATATATGAATAAAGCTGATCTGCCAAATCTGGTGACACATGCACGTAATTCCAGCAATTAGGAGGTAGAGGCAGAAGGACTTTGCCCATACTACATAGTATAATTTATTTAAAATAAAACAAATATAGGCATTCTGTTTAGTACTCCTATTCATGGAAAATGAGTATGTAAATACTTATGTACTTTAAAAAAAAAAAGAATTAGAGCTAGGCTTAGGCTGTGGCTCAAGGGGTAGAGCACTTGCCTAGCAAGCAGGAGAACATGAGTTCAAATCGCAGCACTGAAAAAAAAAAAAGAAATGTAATTTAAATATTAAGAAAAACCCAAGTTTTTGTTTGATAATGTTAAAAAATTCTTTTGTTTTCCCTCAAGACAAGGTCTCAACTGTGTAGCTTAGGCTGCTTTGGAACCTTGATGATCTTGAACTCGAGATCCTCTTGCTTTAGCCTTCAAGTGCTGGGGATTCTAGGCATATACAAACATGCCTGGGTTTATAATCTTCACTGACACTTCCTCATAATCCTTTGGGTAAACACATGGATCTTTCAGTAATGCACAACATTTATTCAACCATTTTAAACTGAGAATATATAGAAGAAATACATATAATTTAAAATCAATTTAATCTTATTTGGTAACTAATCACATAGTAGTATTTATAGAACTCCATTTCAAACCAAAGGAATTACAACATTTTAAACTACTTATTAGTAAGGGAAGGGGAAGAGAATAAACTACTTATTAGATATTGCATACTTAGTTTTACAGATTTAGAAAATACCACAGAATGGGTCTCAACTCTTACATGAAGGCCAAGACCAGTAAGACATATAAACAAAAATACTCTGTTTCAAAGTCCAAGATTACCATGCAATAATACATGATGATCTAGAAATATTCCATATTTTACTTCTCAAACAATAAAGGAGAGAAAGACATTAGAAAAATATATGCCAGAGCTAATGAAAAATTAAAGTCTTAAAACTCAAAGAGATCTCATTATCTTCCAAGAAGAGTAAATATATGACGTATATTTAAGACTGCAAAATTTTGAAAAACACAGATTCTCATATAATTGAAGGAAAAGGGAGAAAAGAAAGCAAGAGGGAGAAACAAGGTAGTTGGCAAAGAGAGTAAAGACTGACTAACTACTAGTCTGTGAAGGTTCTACTTACCTAAAGAAAGAAGTTTCCTGCAGCAATCCGAAAAACCACTTAAGGCTGCCAAATGAAGGGGGAACATTCCATGGATGCCACGCCTAAAGATGACAGTATAGAACCTTCATTATAACACCCCCAAAAATACAGTCCTTTCAACTCATTACAAGGAGAATTCTTAAGTGAGAAATAACTAAAGGAGGTAACTTTGTAGTACTCTGGAGTAGTCTGGAGGGTGAAGGTAGGCATGACTTATTTACTCACTTTTTTTTTTTTTTGTTTTGGTCTATCGTAGTGCTTGAACTCTGGGCCTGAGCACGGTCCCTCAGCTCTTCAGTTCAAGGCTAGTCCTCTACCACTTGAGCCATAGTGCCATTTCTGGTTTTCTGGTGGTTAACTGGAGATAACAGTCTCATGGCTGTTCCTGCCTGGGCTGGCTTTGAACCGTGATCCTCAAATCTCAGCCTTCTGAGTAGCTAGAATTACAGGCGTGAGCCACTGGTGCCTGGCTTACTGAGCTATTTTTTAAGTTTAGGTTTTCCCCCCCCATCACAACCATGTCATTAAGGACTTTACTGTGCATATGGGAAGTCTATATTGTCTATGTAAGATGTTAAGCAGCATCTCTGGGTTATACTTACTAGATACATCATCAACACCTTCCTCCCTAACCCAACGAGTATCTGTTTATTTAGAGAGCACTGTTTATTTAGGGAGCACTGTTGATTAAGGGAGCTAATTTCACCTTCATATTGCCCACTATTTTAAGCCATTCCCATAAGGCAACATGTTCAAGAATGTTCACGATAGTAATTCTGTAAAGGTGAAAAACGAGGGAACAACTTATGCCTATAAATGAATTGTGCAAATAAATAATTAAGTTCTATAAGAAAAACGAACTATATTTACTTGTAGAGATTTGAAAAGCCCCAAATATATTTTCTATATGGTTAAATCAAAGTGGTTAATGTAATTTTTTTTTTCCGGTCATGGGGCCTGAACTCTGGGCCTGGGTGCTGTCCTTCAGCTTTTCAGCTCAAGGCTAGCGTTCTACCACAGGTCCACTTCCCGCTTTTTCTGTTTATGTAGTGCTAAGGAATAGAACCCAGGGCCTCATGCATGCAAGGCAAATATTCTACCACTGAACTACCTTCCCAGCCCCTAAGTTAATGTAATTTTTTAAGTTGCAAAACAGTATGTACATTAACATACTATTTATGAATGTCTAAAGAGCTTAAAATTTGTTAATGGACATGTACAAATTTAGTAAACAGAAGTAATAAACAGCAATTTAAATACAGTCATTCTTCTGTCCAACATAGGTAGCAGAATTCATCTTCTAAACAAAATTTTACAGAGAAATTTTTAAGCCATTCTTTATATAAAGTAAAGGAAAAGCATCTGGAGTGGAGAACTTTGTGACTTTAAAGTACGTCTAGGGGCTGGGAAGGTGGCTCAGTGGTAGAGCGCTTGCCTTGCATACATGAGGCCCTGGGTTCAATTCCTCAGCATCACATAAGCAAAAAGAAAAAAGCTGGAAGTGGTGGTGTGGCTCAAGTGGTAGAGCGCTAGCCTTGAGCTGAAGAGCTGAGGGACAGCGCCCAGACCCAGAGTTCAGGCCCCACGACCGGAGCACCCCCCCCAAGAAGATTAAAAATAAAGTCATTACTGGACTAGAAGTGTAGCTTAAGTTAGAGTCCCGAGTTTGAACCTCAATACTTTATCACCAAAAAACTAAATCAAAACAGAGAGATGAAAAGAAACCCAAATTTCTGATCAAAACTGCATTACTTATGCTAAAGAAAAAACTGCTGTGAGATGAAAAAACTGAACAAATTGGTTAATCAAAATTATTACTTAAAACATTTTTAATCAACCAAATTCTGAATACAAAAAGAAAAAAGCTTAAATGCTAAAATGTTGAAAATAAAACTTCCATTTCCATCTGATCTATCTAGATCCTGTTGCTCAGTGTCTTGAGCTTTCTGTGATAGCTATTAACACTTGTGAAGTACTTACTTTGCAGTGTCAGCACCACTCGTAATGAGAGTGTTGATTAGCAGCTCATGGCCATACCTTGCTGCTATGTGCAAAGGGGTGTTTCCATTCTTGTCCTCACAGTCTATTATAGCTCCTGCAGTTAACAACACAGTGTTAGACTAGATGAAGAAAGAACAAGTCAAATTTTTAAATGCAATGAAAAAATGCTGTTCAAGAATAAAATATGCACATATTGTATTGCTTGGGCCAGGTTCTTGGGGTCAGATTTTATGCTTAACAGTTTTGTGAAGTAAGCCTAAATTTAAGAACACATAAAATTGCCAAAGGGGTTCTGGGTTTAGTAAGTTCAGTAACCAATGTGTTAACATTAAACACATTTCTTTTTTTTTGGGGGGGGGAAGGGGTCCGGTCGTGGGGCCTGAACTCTAGGCCTGGGCACTGTCCCTCAGCTTGCTTCAGCTCAAGGCTAGCGCTCTACCACTTGAGCCATAGCGCCACTTCGGGCTTTCTTTTTGCGTATGTGGTGCTAAGGAATCAAACCCAGGGCCTCATGCATGTAAGGCAAGTGCTCTACCACTGAGCCACCTTCCCAGCCCCTAAACACATTTCTTTAGAGCAAATATTTCAGATCTTTAATGTGTGGACACACTGGCTTTAAAAATCATTTCATTGAAGAGGAAGTGTACTCATTACCTCACTCATGTAACTGTAACCCTCTGTATAGTATCTTTACAATAAAAAAAAATTAAAAAAAAATCATTTCATTGGCCAAGTGCTGGTGGCTCATGCCTGTAATCCTAGCTACTCAGGATACTGAGAGCTCATGCCTGTAATCCTAGCTACTCAGGATACTGAGAACTGAGATGGTGGTTCAAAGCCAGCCTGGGCCGGACAGGCTGTGAAACTATTATCACTGGTTAACCACCAAAAAATACAGAAGTAGGGTTGTGGCTCAAGTGGTAGAGCATTAGCTCTAAGCAAAAAAAGCAAAATGCAAAAATTCCAGGGACAGTGCCCAGAACCTGACTTCAAGCCCCAGGATCAGCACAAGAAAAAAGAATCACTTAGTCCTACATGTTGTTTTTTTTTCTTACTACCTGCTATAGTACCTCCTACTGCCCCCTACCAAAACCTAGACCAACTATTATACTTAGAAGTTACTAAACAGTTCCTTAGGACATGGTTTGAAAAACACAGGTTTAAAGAATTAGTGTAATTTTTTTTTCCTATTTTGAAATTTGGCTTTCCTCATATGTACTAATAGGAACACAAAAAGGAAACGAAGCTGTGGCTTAAGAGGTAGAGTAATAATCTTGAGCAAAAAAGATTCAGGGTAACACCACAGCACTGAGTTCAAACCAGCACAAAAAACAAAAACAGAAAATAAACTAAGACTACTTCAAAAAGGGAAATTCATAAAAGGAAAAAATAAATCCAACAGTACATATAAATATGTAAAACAAGCCAGGTGGTGGCGGCTCATGCTTATAATCCTAGCTACTCAGGAGGCTGAGATCTGAGGATCACAGTTCAAAGCCAGCCTGGGGAGGAAAGTTCGTAAGACTCTTATCTCCAATAAACTACCAGAAAACTGGAAGTGGTGCTGTGGCTCAAGAGGGAGAGCGCTCACCTTGAGCTGAAGAGCTGAGGGATAGTGCCTAGGCTGAGTTCAAGCCCCACGACCGACCAAAATAAATAAATAAATAAAATAAAACATACAGTAAAGAGTTTCTAGTTAGCAATATTAGGAAAAAAAGGCATAACTTACTATTAAATAAATCTTATTGTGTGGTGGCACCTGTCTATAACCTAATATATAGGAAGCAGAAGCAGAGGAACAAGAGTTTTAAAGGGCTGGGTGGCCTATGTCTATAACCCCAGCTACTTCTGAGATCAGGAGGATCACAGTTTGAGGCCATCTTGGCAATAAAAATTTAGTGAGATGTCAACCAATAAGCTGGGTATGGAGGTATATCCCATTTCCAGGCAAAAGCATGAGTTCTTATCTGAAAAATCACTAAGGAAAGAAGCTGAAGAAATATTACACAGCCACGAGAAAGAATAATGTTGTCATTTGCAGGGAAGTGGAAGGACTTAGAATAAACCAGGTTAAGTGAGGTAAGCCAAGCTCAGAGAGACAAACAGTGCATGTTTTCTCTTACATGCAGAAGCTACGTCTAAAATACCTGGGACATGATAAATTATCTAGGATTCTAGGCAGTCACACACAGTGAGACCAAAGGAGAATACTCTTAGGGGAGGAACAGAAATGTACAATGCCTAAGTGCCTCTGATCATATAAAATATTTTTTTTGTTTTCTTTTTGTCTTGTTTAATCTGTCTTTGGGAGAATAAGGGGGGCACAGAAATGGAGGGACAAAGAGTGAACAAATGCAGCAGTGATCCTTATCAGACACACGTCGAAAATGAACTACACAACTTGTGTGGGGATGGGAGGGAAAAACTGGGAAAACAACATTTCCAAAAAGAAATGTACTCATTAATTATCCAACTTACGTGAATATAACCCCTCTGGTACAAAACCTTTATAACAACAATAAAACATTTTTTTAAAAAAGGGGGGGCTGGAAGTAGCTCCCCATCATAGAATACTTGCCTAGCAAGTGCTAAGCTCTGAGTTCAAAACCCAGTAATAATAATAATAAAAAACTTCATGGTTACCCTAAGCTACATAATACCTCAATAACCCAGAAAATCCGAGATTCATAAAAATAGGAGGGGGGGAAAGGGGATGAATTGTACATGGCATTTTATACTCTCATTGTTGATTTTCAAGAGCTCTGAAGTCATACAGACAGCCATGGCAATTCTCTATCACTCATTTTGTGGATGATTTTTATTACATTTAAGAAATAAAAAAAACAAACAGAAATACTTTTTACCACTCTGGATAATGGTTTGTGATCTGGAGAATCTACCGTGGAGGGCAGTCATATGCAGTGGGGTTTTCCCATCTTTACTCTGAAATAATAAAAAAAATTATTTTGTTATATTGATAATTCTTAAGACTGACTCCTTGCTTGTAGATTACTAAAAAACTCTGGATGAAGCTGAATGCTGAGGACTCACCTATAATTCTAGCCACTGAAGAGGCTAAGATGTGAGGACTGAACTTTGAAGCCAGCCACAGCAAGAAAGTCCTTGAGACTTTTTTTTGGGGGGGTCCGGTCGTGGGGCCTGAACTCTGGGCCTGGGTGCTGTCCTTCAGCTCTTCAGCTCAAGGCTAGCACTCTACCACTTGAGCCACAGCGCCATTTCCAGCTTCTTTATTCTTTTTGCTTATGTGGTGCTGAGGAATCAAACCCAGGGCCTCATGCATGCAAGGCAAGTGCTCTTCCACTGAGCCACCTTACCAGTCCCTCCTTGAGACTTTTATCTTAATAAACTACTCAGAAAAAGCCAGAAGTGTAGGTGTGGCTCAAGTAGTAGAGTGCTAGCTTTGAGCAAAAGCAGCTCAGGGACAGCACCCAGGACCTGAGTTCAAGTCCCAGGATTGTCACACACACAAAAAACCAGCTTTGGATGGATGGTATTTTAAGATATAATCTTAGTATCATTTTTATTCTATCAGTGAGGAAACTAAAGTATAAAAGAGTGGTACAGTCTTGATGTGCATCTCAAAGTTCAAGACTTAGTATTTCACATTGCTCCTAGGCAACTATGAATAAGAACTGCAGTTGTTACAAATTTTAAAACTAAATATGAATTTATAACCATAATGAATACCGTATTGTTTTCTCAAATTACTTAACTAACGTGAGGGCACCAGTGTCTTAAAGCTGTAATCACAGCTACTGAGGCTATGAGATCTAGAGACTAAGATCTAGACAAGTTAAGCTCTTCTAGAGGCAAAGCTGGGCAGAAAATTCTGAGACTCCATCTCCAAAATAACTAATAAAAAACAGGTTGGGAGCATGACTCAAGGAGTAGAGCACCACACTAGCATGAGTTCAAACCCAAGTAATGCAAAAAAAATTACTTAAGAAATCCTTGTGTCGCCGGGCGCTGGTGGCTCATGCCTGTAATCCTAGCTACTCAGGAGGCTGAGATCTGAGGAACGAGGTTCAAAGCCAGCCCGGGCAGGAGAGACTGTGAGACTCCTATTTCCAACAAACCACCAGAAAACCGGAAGTGGCGCTGTGGCTCAAGTGGTAGAGCGCTCGCCTTGAGCTGAAGAGCTGAGGGACAGTGCCCAGGCCCAGAGTTCAAGCCTCACGACCGACAAAAAAAAAAAAAAAAAGAAAGAAATCCTTGTGTCATATAAAGTATTAAAATAAATCCTAAGAACTTACCTAGGTTTATGATTATATATTTTGTTTTCAGAGTTCTTCACTTCAGACTGTAATCTTCCTATCTATGCCTCCTACACAGGAGAATGTAGCTAGAGCCACTGGTGTGAACTACTATGTGTAGCTGTTGGTTGACATAGTAAGCTCTCAACTTTTTGCTAAAGCTGGCCTAGAACCACAATACTCCCAGGTTCTGTATCCACAATAGCAGGAACCACAGATGTGAATCACTGTACCCAGTGCTTCATATGAACTTCAGGAGAGTGGGGGGAGGGTTATCCTAGGGCTTGATTTCAGGGCCTGGAAGCTGGTTCCTGAGCATCTTTTGCTCAAAGTTAGTACTCTACCACTTGAGCCACAGTGCCACTTTGGCTTTTTCTGTGTCATATACTGGAGATAAGAGTCTCATGGACTTTTCTGCACTAGCCAGCTTCGAATCTTGAGCCTCAAATCTCAACCTCCTGAGTGGCTAGGATTTTAGCCATCAGCCACCAGCAGCATACCTTAATTTTTAGCAAACAAGCCATCTAAGAAATCATGAGGAATTTCTAATCCTTTGAAGGGTGTGTGGGAAGGGATGAGAGCAAATCCATGCCTACATGGGTTCTGGTAGTAGAGCTGAGCCCCACCACTTAACCAGTAGAGAGCTGAGCTCTACTACTTAACCACAGCAAGATTTTGGGCAAGCTGCCTAACGTATTGGAACCTTTACTTTCTCAACTAAAAATGTATACCATCTGTAATTCATAAGTCTGTTATACAGTGTAAATATAATAATCTTTGTAGAACATCTAATAAATAAAGGTCTGTTATAATGTAAGCCAGTGTTTTTATTTGATGCTTTAAAGATACACTAGTATGCATTCTTTCAACTAGGAAAAAAACCCTAATAGCTTTTTAACAAAAAAAATTCACAATCTAATTTCTAGTAATCAAGATAACTAAGGAGATAAAACAAAAGGAAGAACAAGGTAGAAAGAAAAGCAGCAAGAATGAATATAAAACAAAGAACATGAACACTAGCAAATTTAATTGCTTTGTTAACAGGGAAAATGGTAAGTAAGGACCTAGCCCATCAGCCAAATAACTTAAACACATATGACAAATCCAAGTGGTAGGAGTTAATATATAGACTTTGCTTATTAAAATCTACAACTTTTGCACAGTTTCAGAGATGTAAGAAACCTTAGAAATGAACATGAAGTATGCTTCAATGAAACTTGGTAGTAAATTAATGAAAAACAAAGAGGACAGATTTATCTTTTTGGCTAGATGCTGTGGCTCAAGCCTTTAATCTGCTAATTGGGAGGCAGAGATTGAGTTAATTGAGGTTCTAGGCAAGAAGAGGCATAAAAGTTTGTGAGACTCCATCTTGACTAATGGCTTGGCATGGTGGGGTAAGCGTGCCATCCAGAGGCACAGAAAAACATAAATAAGATGGCAGCCTAGGTCAGCCCAGGCATCAAGTGAGACTTTACCTAAAAAATAACTAGAGTGGGATGAGGCCTTGGTGCCTTGCCATCTCTAGGAGGCTGAGATCTGAGGACTTTGGTTCAATGTCAGCTCTGGCAGGAAAGTCCCTGACACTTTCATCTCCAATTATGCATCAAAAAACCAGAAGTGGAACTATATCTCAAGTAGTAGAGCACTAGCCTTAAGCAAAAAGCTCAGCGATAGTGCTTAGGCCCTGAGTTCAAGGCCAAGACTAATCATGTACGTACACGTATATACACACACCCTCTAATCCACTAATGTAAAAAGGGCCTCACAGAATGGCACACACACACACACACACACACACACACACACACACACACACACACACATCCTCTAATCCACTAATGTAAAAAGGGCCTCACAGAATGGCACACACACACACACACACACACACACACACACACACATCCTCTAATCCACTAATGTAAAAAGGGCCTCACAGAATGGCTAAAGTGATAAAATGTCTGCCTAATAAGCATCAATCCCTAGCACTACCAAAAATACAGCTATATAAACTGCATATAAGCAGAATGTCACACATCATAGGCAAGATTAAAGCAACCTACATGAAATCCATTTCTTATTGTCTGTTGCCTTCAAATCTATTAAGATATTACATACTAATGTCTTTGCTGAAAGAAAAAATCCTTTATTGAACATAAAATACATGATTGAATCACTGAGAACTTAGCTTCAAATAGGCCCACCAGTTTGAGCGTTTTGTAAGTGAACCACTTATAGACCTGAGTCTCAATTCCAAATCTGAAGAGTTAGACAACTATATAGCCGTGTTCAAATCTTTAAAGTATTCCCTTTGAGTTAAAAATGCTTAATATAAACAAGTATAAACGATAAACTACAAAACATTATCATTACCCTATAAAATTTTCTCATGCCTCTTTCCTGGACAGTCCTTGCTCCCAGAGATGACAACTGTTCTGATTCTTTAGTTAGATTCTAGAATCCCATAAAAATGGAATTTCATCTGTTGTAGAACCTTACCTAAATCAGAAATGAGTGTATATATTCTCTTGCTCACCACATAGATTTGCCGTTGCACTTAAAAGTTTATTAGTACTTTCTTATTATAAAATTATTATATTCATTTGGATATTGTTTTAAATAGCTAAATATTTAAAATATAGATGCTAATTGTTCTATACCTTCATATTGACATCAGCCCCATGGCCAACTAGAAGTTCTAAACACAGTGCTCCATGCGTTGATGCAGCGGCAAAGTGCAAAGGAGTGAATCCTTTTTCATTCTTTTGATTTACATTAGCACCACAGTCTATGAGTTCATTCACAACAACATCTTGTCCATTATAGCAGGCCACGTGAAGAGGTGTGTTCCCATAGGCATTTGGTTCATTCATCTATTGGAAGGGTGAAAAAGTGTCAATGTTACAGTAACCTTGCTAATAATTATTACTGCAAGCTATTTTAGGAAGCACGTGGTTGCAATCAAATTTATAAAGTGAGAGAAAAAAAGGGACAAAAACACGGATGAGGCTTATAACACTAAAGTTCTTTTAAATAATGAACATAAGTACTTGGTGCTAAAACAGTTGTGTATATTTAGAGAATATAATTCAAATAGAATGTGTATTAATGACACAACCAAATGATGATTCTAGAATATGAAAATTAAAAAAACATTTTTAAAGTCTCTTAGAAAAAAGAGATTTACCATATAATTAACTCTAAGAATCATGAATAAAGAACAAGACTGAAGATTGAATATATTCAGTAAAATGTATGTTTTTAGCATTTTCTTTTATAATAACAAAGTTAGTAAGTTAGAGATTTGGAGTTTTTCTTAAAACTACATGACATATTTTGCATATTTTTCTATTAAAAATCATTCGTCAAAAACTTGTAAATTTTTCCTAGCTTTACATGTTGAAATCTTATCAAAAGACAAAAGAATATGCTCAATAATAATGCAACTCAGGCTTTCTCCCTTCCTTTCCATTTCTTTCTTTTTTTGGCCAGTCGTGCAGCCTGAACTCTGGGCCTGTGTGCTGTCCCTCAACCATTCAGCTCAAGGCTAGTGCTCTACTACTTGAACCACAGCGCCACTTTTGGCTTTTTCTGCTTATGTGCTGCTGAGGAATCAAACCCAGGGCCTTATGCCTGCAAGGCAAGCACGCTATCTCTGAGCCACCTTCCCAGCCCCGTCCCTTTCCATTTCTAATAAATATAGTATAATACTTTAAAGTTTACATGATTTTTTTTGGGGGGGGGGTTAGTTGTGGGGCTTGAACTCTGGGCTTGGGCACTATCCCTCAGCTCTTCAGCTAAAGGCGAGCTCTCTACTGCTTGAGCCACAGTGCTGGTTTCTGGTGGTTTTTTTGGAGATAAGTCTCATGGACTTTTGAACCACGATCCTCAGATCTCAGCCTCCTGAGTAACTAGAATTACAGGCATGAGCCACCGGTACCTGGCTACATGAGTCTTGCATGGCAAAAAACTATACCTTGGACTTGGCATCATGGCTTACACCTGTAATCCCAGTATCTGGGAAGATTATAGCTGGAAGCTAGCCTAGGCAAAAAGTCAGTAAGACCACATTCTCAATACACAAGGCCACAAGGTAAGTCATACCTATAATCCCAACTACATAGGAGGAAGAGATGGTAGATAGTAGAATTCATGACTAGGGCAAGGCAAAAAAGTTTGTAACCTCTCTGAAAAATAAAGAAAAAAGTCTGGGGGACTGGGGGTGATATGTCTCAATTGGTAGTGTTTGCCTAGCAAGCATAAGGCTCACAGTTCAAACCACAGTACCACCATCACCACTATCAGCATCAGCAACAACTACTATAATAAAGAATTTTACTTTGCCCAAAGGGATGTGGACTTAGCTTTTGGCTTCAAGGAGGTAACCTAAAATATACCTGATAGCAGTGTCCTTGTTGAGGGTATTCACTCATTGGACCTTAGAATTAGATTGACCATATCTGCTTATCTTAGAATGAAGACCAACTGTGCCAGATTTAAACCAACAATGGAATTTAAGATGGGAGTTTTGTAAGCAAGCTTGGAGACTAAACCATCACATGGTCAACCAATCACACCTATGTAATTGGAACCCAAGTTTTAAAAAAAGCTGTACAAATGAAGCTAAGATGATCATTCTCAGTTGGCATTGCATTGTGCATACTGTCACATATTAATACTAGAAAAGTTAGTGGGTCTTGTCTCCATGAGAAGAGAATGATAGAAACTTTAAGAATATGCCTGGGGCTCTATCCTATCTGTTTCCTTTCCTTCAACAGATCTTAATTTGTACTTTCCCCTTGTAATAAACCATAACTGTGAATGTTAACCTCTTTCAGTGAGTTATGTGAGTCCTCCTAGTGAATCATCAAACCTGAAGCTTGAAGCCCTTCTATACATAATTGTTCACAAGTGAGGATAAAGCACTCTTGTAATCCTGGCTACAATGAAGCTGAGATCTGAGGATTGTGGTTTAAAGTCATCCAGGGAGGAAAGTCTATGAGGCTCTTATCTCCAATTAACCAGCAAAAAGCTGAAAAGTGGAGCTATGGCTATGTGGTAGAGCACTAGTCTTGATTGAAAAAGCTATGGTACAGCACCCAGGCCCTGAGTTCAAGCCTCACTACTGGCACACAAAAACAAAAACGAGAGTAGTCTTGGAGGAACACTACAGTTGTAGTGGCTTCAGCTTACCACAACTTCAATCTTTTCTTAGAATATAGATAATAGTGTTAAATGTAAAGAAATAGTCAAAGTTTATAGATGTCATTACCAGAAAATTCTCTCTCAAAGCACAGCCCCTGGAAGGAACCAACTTTGTTAAAACCTTCATTTAGACTTTCTACAGTGCAAAACTGGTAAGAGTAAATGGCTGTGGCTTTAAGACACCTAGTTTATGGCAATTTGTAATAATATCCCTAGGAAACTTTAAAAACAGAAAGCAAGATGTAGGCAGAGGTCAGATGAGGTGATAAAAACACTGCCACCCGTGTTTTTGTCTGGTCAAAAGACCAAAGAATATTCTCAATAATATGCAAGGCTTACCCCTCCCTTTCCATTTCTAATAAAAATGGTGTTATTTTACTATTCATTAAGTTTTTGTTTTTGAGACAGTTTCTTATTATGTAGCCCAGGGTGGCTTCAAACTCATGATCCAATAGCTTTAGCCTTTTAAGTTCTGGGATTACAGGAGCGTGCACCATCATTCCAGGTTAAGATTTAAAATGGCAGCAAAAAGATTTAAAACAACTGTCAGATACAAAATTGTCTCATTTGTCCACATCAGGAATTCTGAAGACTTTATGTTACCATGTTGAAAATTATACAAAAACGCTGAGATAAAATGAAACGTTTATGTTTTGTATCTGACTAGATCCCACACAATTTATTAGGGCTTGCAACTTCTTGTAATTCTCCCAGTTTCATTGTCTGCTTATTTTCAGCAGTGTTCTTTAGGTACTTAAATTTATATGATAGTCTATCCATCTCAACAACTATCATGTAAATTTTTGTCTAATCAGACCACCATCTACATTTTTTTTTTAATGCTGTTGGTCTTAGGGCTTGGACTCAGGGCCTGGGTGCTATCCCTGAGATATTTTTACTCAAGGCTAGTGTTCTACCACTGAGCTACAGCTCCACCTCTAACTTTTCTGCCCTGAATGGCTTTGATCTGTGGTCCTCAGATCACATCTTGCTAAGTAGCTAGAATTATAGGTATGAATCACTGGTATCTGGCTTTTTTGAAACTGATTGTTTGCCTCTTTCTGGCAGAGCCTTGCCTTCTTTCCTCCTAATTTACTGCTTTGAAGAACTAACAAGTTTGTCCCAAATGTTTCTCAAATATGGTGGCAGAAAACTGTACTCTTAGTACTCAGTTTAGTTAGGAGGATTGTGAATTCTAGACAAGCCAGGCTACCTAGCAAGGCTGTATCCCAAAGAATCCTATCTTTCTTACAAGAGAGTAAATATAGTAACAGCAGGGGAAACATGAGTTCTGTGAAAATTGTTATATCAACGCAGGAATCAAATAAATCCAGATACAGAAGCATCCCTTCCCAACAGAAGACATATGCTAATTTAGCACAAAGTCTTTTGTGTTCTTGTTTAGCTTTTGTCATTAAAAGTTATAATGTTTATCAGACTAAGAAGATTAACAATAAATTGGACTATACTTTAAAAATTGTGTGGAATTGTACCAATGAAATTCCCTCTGCATAACAAATATAATTGATAAAAAATAATGAAAATAAATCAATAAAAAGGTTAATAAGAACATCTAACTCACATGTCTGATCTGCTGAATCTCCCAGAGACAGAAAAGTTACAGAACTTGAAATATGATGAGAAAAATATATTTTAACTCTTAATGTTCTTTGACTAATTACATATCTGGATCATAAATCAGTATACTAGGTAAAGAACTATAAATATCTGGTTAAAAGACAAAAGTATTACTGTATGAAATAATACTTTAAACCTGAAATAACTTCTGCCATCAATATAGTAACAAAAATAAAAAATGTTCCATTATATACCTACATCAACTCCAAGATCCAGAAGATACTTGACTACACTGATCATTCCACTAGAGGCTGCTGCATGAAGAGGTGTGTAAGATTTCTTGTCCTTACATGTCACTTCAGCTCCATGTGCTACTAGTAATTTCACTACTTCTATATGACCTGAAAACAGGTTTATGAGGAAAAAACAAAAAGATGAAAATATATAAAATATTAAATATAATCTGAATGCTTTTCAAGAATAGAAAAAATGCACAACAATCCCATAATACATATATAACCAATAAATCATGTTAAAATTGAAAGGACAGAAAAATGTAAGAATACTTTGATAAATCCAGATAACTAACAACTTAATGACAATAACTTAAAACAACACACTTGTTTTGTTAAACAATAACTTTTAATCTATAATCTTCCTTTTGCCTAGTATTTTCTGTTCTACCTCCCACAGGTTGTTTTAATCCCTGTCCTCCCCTCCTCCTCCTCTTTCTCAAGCTAGAGAATGAACTCACAACTCTGTACATGTTAGATAAATATTCTACCACTCCTAGATCCACTGCTATTTAAAGTTAATAATCTTCTATTGATGTAGCTTGAGCTCAGGACCTGGGTGCTATCCATGAGAGCTTCTGAGCTCAAGGCTAGTCCTAGACCTCTACCACTTGAGTCACAGCTCCACTTCTAACCTTTTGGGTAGTTAACTGGAGATAAGAGTCTCCTGGGGGCTGGGAAGGTGGCTCAGTGGTAGAGTGCTTGCCTTGCATGCATGAATCCCTAGGTTCGACTCCTCAGCACCACATAAGCAGAAAAAGCTGCAAGTGGGGTTAAGGCTCAAGTGGTAGAGCGCTGGTACAGCTGAAGAGCTGAGGGACAGCACCCAGGCCCAGAGTTCAGGCCCCATGACCAACAAAAAGGAAAAAAAAATGAGTCACCTGGACTTCCCTTTCTCGGCTGGCTTTGAACTGTGATCCTCAGACCTCACCTCCTGAGTAGTCAGGATTATAAGCATGAGCCACTGGCACCTAGCTTTCATCTTTTATTTTTACATGAAAAATGGGGGGGGGGAGATGACAAAACCAATAAAATCAACACTAGAAAACACTGAAGATAATCTATGCCTACTGGAGTAGCTAACTAGATGTCTCTGAAATCAGGTAGTTCTACTGGTAAATCTCAAAATCATTCTAGTATCACAGAAGACATCCCAATTCATATGTAACTTTTACTAGACAAAGGAATCAACATAATAGAATCACAAAATTACAACTTTTAACAGGAAAACAAGTCTTGAACTCCACAGCTACAAAGGAAGGGATTTCTGCCTGTCCTCTCTCTCATGGTCCTGACATTGAATTCAGAGTCTTTCACATGCTAAAAAAAAAGTGTTCTACCATTGAAAATCTCCATTCTAGAGTTCTTTTTAACAATCTTAAAAAGTGAATTGTTCAGCCAGGTGTTGGTAGCTCAAAGTTCATAATGCTAGCTTCTTGGGAGGCTGAGATTGGAAGAGTGCAGTTTCAGGCCAGTCCAGGCATACATGCAAGACTCAGGAGGAGGCTGAGACCTGAAGGACCATGGTCCCTAAGACTCCATATCTCCAATTAACCACCAAACAAACAAACAAAAACAGGCTAGATCAAAGAGTGGCTCAAATAACAGAGTGTTAGCCATGAGCAAAAAAAGTCCAACCAACAGGAGGCCCATGAGTTCAATCTCCAGTACTGGCAGGCAGGCAGGCAGGCAGGCAGGCAGGCAGGCAAGTAAGCAAGCCAATAACAACAAAAAATAACTAGCACAAAAAAGGGTTGGAAGTGTATCCCTGGTAGAGTACCTGCATAGCAAGTTGGAGGCTTTGATTGACTTCAAATTCCAGTTTAAGGCATCAGTTGAAACTCAAACTTACCCTCCCCCAAAAAAGCTTCCTCCAAAAGGCACAATTCCAGAATTCTAGCACTTCAAAAGCCCATGGCAATGGGCTGGGAAGGTGGCTCAGTGGTAGAG